GCACCACCCACAGTGAGTTCAGCCTTCCCCACATCAACCATCAATCCAGAAAATGCCCCACAGGCCTGCCCACCATCCAGTCTAGTGCGGGCATTTTCTCAATCCATGCTTCCTCTTCCCAGAGGACCTCAGCTTGTCTAAAACTTGGCTTACAGCTAGACAGCACATACTTATTCTCAAATATTAAATATTAAAAAATCCGTGATGAAATAGATTTTTAAAATGTTGGCTCGAATAAAGTCGCACCTGTTTCTTTACTGAGCCCCCTGAACGGCCTCTGATTTATGAGTGTGCAACGTGCTCTTTAATCTTCAAAGTGTGGAAGGTTGCTCAAGCATTTCTCAGTAGACCAGTCCCCAGCTTCCTTCACCCACCTAGAAGTTCCACATTTTCACTGGCGAGCACACCTCGCCACCCACCTTAGGGCTTACCGCAACCACGGAGTGCGGGTTTCCCGGTCAGGCTTCCAGCTAGTGAGTCACTGCTACGGTGATAATAAAAGGGAGCAAAACTGTATTTGTCACCTCCATGGCTACTGTAGTGGACAAGGAATGGACAGTGATGGACAAAAAGAAGGCGGCTGGTGGAAACAGTGTCTGAAAAGTACTGAAACAAACGGGCGTCTATGGTTTTGACGTGTCTCCTAAGGCTCAAAAAATGGAGCGCCCAGTTCATACAAGTCAGTGTAGCGAAGTTTAGAATCACCTTGTAACAGGCCCTTGAACATGACTGTGGGAGGCTGTCGAGATTTAACCAACCAAGAAGAGGAGACTCCACAGTGGGTGGCACCATTCCCGGAGCTGCCGTGCTGGACGGGAAAGGGAGGAAGTGAGCTGGGCACAGCCCTTCGCCACTCTCTGCTGCTGTAGACGGAATGTGACCAGCAGTCTCATGTCCCTGCTGCTGCTACTTCCCTGTCACGGCTGACCACCCAAAGCGTGGGCCACAGGAAACCCCTTCCTGCCTGCTCAAGTTGCCTTGGTCTCAGAATTCATACAGCCGTGGAGAGAGTAATTAAGATGCCACGTTAATGCTGCTTAAGGGAGACCTTGGGAGCTAACTGGGATTAGAAAAGACCACGAGTGCATCAGCAACTTTGTACGAAGATTGCTGTCTTGACATAGGCTTCCTTAATCATCAGAATGTTGCATATTGAGTATAAAAATATTCATGATGGAAGAGACCCAGGAATGTTGGATCAAATAAAGGCATGCCCGTTTCTTTACTGAGCCACTTCTCATAGCCTCTGATGCGTGAAAGTGCAGTCCTCTACCAGGTTGATGAAATAGCTCAGGTCCCCTCCAGAAGGAAGGCAAGACATCGTGGCCTCAGGCTTGATGGCCTCCAGAATCATAAACTAAAATGAACTTCTATTCTTTATAAGTCACTCAGCCTCATATTAATAAAAAAATGAACTGACATCAACATAAAGTTTATCCCAACTTACCCGTCCATTTGGATGCCCAGTTTTAATCTAAGTGTTTCAGCATCAGCATAGACCCTGACGTGTGCTAGCTTTTGTCAAGGTGCTCGTGTGATCATAGAAAGCAAGTCGACCCCAGGAGGCTGTGAGGTACTTCAAATTATGGTATCCAGAACTAATGCTCACCTGCTCCGGCACTGACTTCAGAAACACAGCCATGGTTTTCTCATTATATTATAAATTACAAGTTTTCTTAAGTCAAACTATATGTCTCACTTACCAAGATATTCTTTGACTTGCTATCTATAGTTATTATTATTTTTTTAATCTTCCGTTTCTCTGGGTTTTCTGCAAAATTAAAATAATCATTGAAAAATGGCCTTGGATTTTTTTTTGTTTGTTTGTTTTAGTTCAGTGGCCAGTAAGTAAAATGGAATTATTATTATTATTATTATTATTATTATTATTATTATTAGTTTTTCGACACAAGATTTCTTTTTGTAGCATTGGCTGTCCTGGAACTCACTGTATAGACCAGGCTGACCTTGAGCTCAGAGATCTGACTACCTCTGCCTCCCAAGTGCTAGGATTAAAGGCATGAGCCACCATTGCCCAGTGGGCATTATTATTTATATATTTCCATCCACTAGGATGCTATTCAGAAGCTGTTGAAAGAGCAGTGAATGGCTCTCTATCCTGCACAGGCAGCTTACATGGGAGATATTTTCATAGGAAAAGAATGATGCTGACAGCTATGCAATGGCTCCCTCTGATTGCTTCTCAAACTTAAAAAACAAAACAAAACAAAACAAAACAACATAATTCCCAAAATAACTACCTCTGAAAAACCCAAATTACATTTTTTTAAAAGCCATATGTAATGGACTCTGTGGTGGTTTGAATGATATTGGTCCCAAGAAGCTTATATTTGAATGTTTGGTCCCTAGTTGGTGGAACTGTTTGGGAAAGATTAGGAGATGTGACTTTGTTAGAGGAGGGGTTTCACTGGAGGTTTTAAAAGCCATTCCATTCCCTGTTAACTGGTTCTCTCTCTCTCCCCCTCTTTTTTCCCTCTTTCCCCCACCCCCACCTCTCTGCCTTGTTCTTATTGATCAGACATCTGATCTCATCTACTTTGGCAGCACCATGCCTGCCTGCTTGTTGCCATGCTTTCTGCCATGATGGTCATGCCACACTTTGACATTGTTATAAGCCCCAATTAAATGCCTTCTTTTATAGGTTGGCTTGGTTATGGTGTCTCCTCACAGAAAGAGAGGTGTAACTAAGGCAGACTCCTAGAAGTGTAGAAGCATTTTCTTTGTGGTAGGTGAAATGATTGCTTTTTAAGGTCTTGATTTAATCACTAGCTGAAAAGTATCAGGCCTCACTGGGTGTAAGACATCATCTGAATCTCACTAATTAGCTGACAAATAATTAAATGTCATACTACAATTGTCAGGAACTCCTTTGCAATACATTCCCCCCCCCCCTCCCCGGGCCTTTAAGTTCAGCAGAGTTAACATTTAATTTTCCTTTTCAAAAGCAAACGACCAGGAAGAAACCCAATTATAAATTTTCTTTAAAAAAAAATGACAAATTGGAATAAGCCCAAGATTCAATCTTGAGCCCCCAGCCTTGGTCCCTTCTGAGTTACTTTGCTAGACCCCTGGGCTGGATGGAAGGGAGGGTACTGCACCCCAGCAAAGGCCCTGGGGCCCAGAGACCTTCTTAGGTTGTCCTACTAGTCACTGCCTGTCCTGGGACAAAGGCTGGGGTTCAAGGTCGAGTCTTAGGCTTTCTCTAGGGAAACTTTTATATAACTTTCAAAAATTATGCTCCTGTTTCCACTTCAGAAATCAGTCCTCACTCTACAGTAAGGCACCGGGTTGTCACAGGGCTCTGTAAAACCCCATCACGGCACAGCTTTTGGTGCCATGGGAGGGACACCACTGCCCCACAGGAAAACATCACCTCTACTTGTTTTGATATCCGTAGTGCAAGGCTTGATTCTTGCTGCAGAACGGACTCCCAGGCAGGTATTTGCTGAGTGAATCAGGTTGTGAGGAGGACTCCAGAGTCTGGACTGGGACACTCAAGCCTGCACTGTGGCTAATCATCTGTGTCACTTGGAAGCGTTTGGTGTTTCAGGTTCCTTAATCTGTGTGACGAGGTAACAGAACTAGATTTTCCAAAAAGGACTCTGTAGCTTTAACAGCTAACATGACTTCCGATTTACATAGGTTATTGTCTTGTCAGAGAATGACTTTTAAAAAAATACAACAATTTTGAAAAAAAGGGAGATTTAAAAATAAAAGCCCGTATTTCCTCTGTATCTTGAAAAACATATAAGATCACTATATTGGGCTAATGTTTCTAAAAGTTCACAGTGGGCACTTCAGGTAGATCTCAGTGGGAGACCAAATACCCAAAATGTGGTTTGGTCTTTAGTACCTCAAATCAAAACCCCAAACAACCTGGGTGAGTGGTGACACAGGACTGTACTTCTAGCTACTCAGAAATGATGAGGCAGGACGATGGCAAGTTCAAGGCCTGTCTGGGCTGCAGAGTGAGTTCATGGGCAACTATGAAGACCCTGTTTCAAAAACAAAAAAAGGCTGGAGATACAGGGCACAGTTAAAGCACTTGCCTCCCATGGGCAAGCCCTTTGGTTCAGTCTCCAGTAACCGACAAAATAGAGCAAAACTCAACATTTCACAATGGGTCTAGCCGAATCATTGCTTTCAACGGGTGCAGGTCCTCTGGCCTCTGTGCTCACTCCACTGCGTGGATCTGATTTGTCTTGAAAGGATGCAGTGTTTGAGTCTGACCTAAATCATCTATGTATGCTCGCATGTGTGAAAGCAACCAACGTAGGGTTTGCTTCATGGTTCTGGTTCACAATACTTGGAATTATCCTCCTCACTTGAATTCTTCTGCACTTTTGGCATCATGTGTTTTCATGCTTTTTTCAGAAAACAGCTCAGTCTTAATTATAGGCAACGGTCAAAGCAATCTATATTATAATTAATTTAGCAAAGTATTTCTTTCACCTGAGCAACTGACGCTTCTCATCTGTGAGTCACATGTTGTCTGGAGAGCTATTGTTGGAACTTTCTGTGCTCTTAAAGCCTGGGGAAACTGCACCCGGTATATCAAGGAATTGAGATCGATCATGAACTAGGAAAACATCTTTACCAAGTGGCACTCGGAGGTGATTATTTATTTATTCTTTCCTGGGTTCAGCTAGCACTGCCTTGACATTTTGGCAGTGCTGGTTTCAAGTGGAGTTGTCAATAAAGTCTACTGCAGAGCTGAGGGTTAGGAAACAGGACCTGGAGGAGCCCCCGAATCCGGGGAGGATGGTTCCCCCGAATAAAGAAGGCAGCTCTCCTCTATCCCTTCCTCTTCTTTTGCACATGGACGTCCACCATCAGAATGTCAGCCTTAGAAGCCTAGCTCCCTAGCAGTTTTGCCCGTCCCTCCGAGCTTCAGCAGTCCCTGGCCAATGGAAGAAACGCGAGCCCCGCCTCCTTCTTCCTTGGGCTGTGCGCCGAGCATGCGCAGTGGGCGTGCTCGCGCCACCGCCCATCAGCTGAGATCGGCTGCGGAGGGCTGTGGGCCCCCGGGGTGACAGCGGCCGGAGGAGGCGCAGGAGGAAGCCAGAGAGGTTACGGTAAGGGATGGCTGCAGAGGCGGAGGCCAGGTGGCGGGAGGGACACCCCAGAAGCGCAGCCCCCGGTGGCTGTCTTGGGGTACGCGGAATCGGGCTCCCCAGGGCGCAGGGCCGGCGCCTCCCAGGCTCCCACGCCCCGGGACGCGCGCGCGCGCGAGCGCTCCAAGGCGCGCGGCAGGGAAGCCCGACCCCATCACCAGCTCCCGGCTGGCGATAACTCCGTTCCCATTCTCTATCAACTTCCCCTCCAGGAGAACAGAACAGAAAAGCAAAAGCAGTGGGTCCCGGTCGTCTGGCCACAGGTTCTTTCCGCGGCCCATTGCGTTTGCTTTTCTTGTTGGCCTTGACTTACACCAGCTACCTTGTGCATGCCTTTAATTGATTTACCCCCAAGACCCTTAACAAAGTATTTCAAGAATTCGCATCTGTGTATTCTAGGTTAAATTCAGACTGCCCTCCACCCCTCACCTCCACCCCCCACCCCCCAAAAGAGGCGTGGGTGACGGTGGGGAGAGGAAGCCTTCTATTCAAATGCTAATTTTTAGACTACGTTTAGATTTGATACACATATATCATATTTTGGTTGCTTCAGATCTTGTATTCTGGCAGTAATTTTCAATTACAAGTTGTCTGCAATCAGGAAAAGAAAAAAAAGGAAGTAACCATGAAACACTGGTTTGGCCCTGTTGGAGGTGGGCGTTTCTTTTAGGTGTACTCTGCGCTACAATGGGCACAGACCATTGTAAAACTGTAAAATTGTGTCTTGTGACGTGGATGGGCCTCTGGCTTTGCAAGCTGCTTCCGAAGTTGGCCCCAGGCTTGTGACTAGTTAAGACTAGGCCTGTACTTTCCCAGTGTCTGGGGAAGTTAATGTAACACTGTATTAACTCTTCCACCCTTGGGACATTGTCCTTCAGCTCGCTCCTTCTTATGCATCTCCTGATGAACAGCCATTTCTAGTTTCGATGAGGATCCCCTGTTTGTTCAAGTGCGGGTGGTTGAAAATTGTTAGTAATTATGCTGAGCTCTACGCCGCTAAATGGAACGGGCATGAGGTCCTGGGTTCAGTCTTCAACATTGCTGTGTCTATTGCTGTCATAGAAAGCAAACACAGTCTGAGTGGATTTTGCTCTACTTCAGTGTAACTTGAAATATTAACGTGTAAAACTGTGAGAGAGAGAAAAAAAAAAAAAAAGAACCTTGGTGAATTAAGCTGAAACCAAATAGTGAAGCGTGATAGTTCAATTGAGAGCAGAGAGCAACAGTGGTGGTGACTACAGCTCACCTCAGATCTGGCCTCTCTAGGGTGAGTGACCCCTCGCTGGGAGAAGGAGCCGGTTGTCACGTGCAGATCCTGGGAAGGGCCCCCTAGAGCCAGGAAAATGGCACCCAGAGAGGCCAAGGCAGCAACAAGCCCGAAAGTTGGTGTTTTAGAAACGTTAGCATTTACTCTCAGGCTGGGTGTGTGTTCTTAGGAAATTGGTGCGCTTTTTCATTCAAACTGCAAATGCTCATTCAGGACCTGTGTGGTAGCCAAGTACTAGAGAACAGAACAGGCCGGCGATTTACACTCCCCCGCACACCGCACACACAAATAAAAACTCTGAGGGACAAAAGAGAAGGAAGCTCATTATCTTATGCTGATGTTCGTGATTAAGAAAGTGAAACCGGCCGTTTGATGGGAGCAGGCTAAGTGTCACACCGGAAGTCCGAAGGATTCTACTGTGTGCCCGGTGGTGACTGCAGGGCAGTGTTTCACACTGAAGAATCTGCGTCAGAATTCCCTTTGTTCACGTCCTCGTTATTCTTTCGACACAGCCTGAGATGGCTCTCATTGAGGCTGTTGTGCTTTGATCCTCGCTTCTCCTCTTTCACCTTTGTGTTTATGTGTCTTTATAAAAAGATAATTACCGAGATGTTGAGCTGAGCACTGTCCAGCAGAACTTTTATGGTGATAGAAATGGACATGTGAGCTGTCCGAGCTGCTGGCCACTGGCCACATATAATTTCTGAGCACTTGAAAGGTGGCTTGGGTGGCTTTCATTTAACTGAATTCATTTTAATAGTCCATGTCAGAAGTAGCTATTCTATAGGTAGAGCAGGTACACAGTGTGTCATAATTATTTTGAGCAAAGACACTAGGAATTCCAAATAGGTTTTCGACAAGAATACTTTGGTGCATTGGAGCTCAAGCTAGGGACTGAGGATGGTTACAGAGCACAAACATCTTACGCACAGAATTTATTAGCTCACTTGTAAAAAAAAAATCATAAACTTTAAAGCCATTTCTCAGTAACCATGTACTTGCCTGTTTATTTAGTTTTTCCAGAAAAGTTAGCCATTGTCCCACGTACTTTGCATTTTATCCGGAGGGCCAACTCTTGACTTTTAAAGGCTGTCATTCATTAGCTGCACAGAAAGGGAACGTGCAACTCCACAGCATTACGTCCGTCCATCCACTTTTGCTTCCGTGTTGGAAGAAACTACCTGTGGGTACGCAGAAAGGCTGCAAATTTGCCTTCGTAGCTGAGCGGGTCCACCCATGCTAAGCTGTTGATCAGAAAGCAACAGATTTTGTCCAGTGTTTGTGAGCTCCCAGATTTATGTTCAGATTGTAGGTCTTTGCTCATCTTAAACAAGTTATTTATTCTCAATGATGCCTCATAATCACTACAATAGTAATTATGCCTACTGCACAGGCTTTTGAGAATGAGAAAAAGGCCCCACGTGTAGAAAATAGTTAGCTCTTTCTCAGATTGCTGTGCGTTCGTCTCTCAAGACTGCAGCAAGGTGGGCATCTCCACACCCTTTCTCTGATAGATTCCGCACAGCTAGAGTGAGTGGTAGCTCTTAGAATGGGTCAAGCCCGCTTGTCTCACCAACAGGGCGATTCTCTAATTTGCTTCTTGAGTACACGGATGAAAACAACCGGCTTGATTGTGATTGCCTGACTTACTTTTCAAAAAGGAGAAGAATCCCTTTTAGAGAAAACACTGGGAAGATTTGGACTTTAGGTGTATGAATTTTGAGAGTTAAAAGAAAGCTGAAGCCCGGCATGGTGGTGCATGCCTTTAATTCCAGCTCTCAGGAAGGCAGAGGCAGGTGGTGGCCAGAGGTGAGTTTGAGGCCAGAGTAGTCTACAAAGAGAGTTGTGGACAACCAAGGCTACACAGAGAAACCCTGTCTCAAAAAAAAAAAATAAATAAAATAAAAATGCATACATAAATAAATTTAAAAAATTAAAAAGAAAGAAACCCTTTGCAGGAATTAACAGGGTTCTGTCATTAGCCTCTGTGGAGGAGGGATGTTAGGCTGTAGGGGAGCATGTGGTGTAGCACATCAGACCTGTCCTCTGTGTACACTGGAAAAGCACTTGGTCCCTGGACGTGCATTATCTCATTTTGATCCTGGCAGGAGGCCCAGATAACTAAGGATCTTGCCCAAGGTAGGGAATTCTGGTTGCCAGTTTTCCTGGCAGCTGAACAGGCAGCTCGTGAGTTCTAGTGACTTCACAGATATATAGACATGAGAGAGAAAGACAGACAGACACAGAGAGAGAGACAGACAGAGACTGAGAGAATAATAAGGGTATGACATATAGATAACTCTGAGTTATCTGTTTGTGCCCACGATTAAAGAGTTCTTCACAGTGTGTCCATGTGGGCTGTAAACCAAGGGCACTGTTAGAAGTTTGACTGATAGAAAGAGCCAAGAGAAAATTGTCTTTATCCATTTATTACAATCTTGTCAATAAAAAGGATTGAGATACTCATGGACCCTACCAGGAGATAGTCCTGGAAAACACAAGGAAGATAAACAAGTCAGTCACAGAGAATGTATATTGTATGATTCCACTCATGTGAAACATCTGAAATAGGAAAACATTCCAAGTGGATGAATGGTGTTTATGGCTGAGAAGGTGGGGGACAAACAGGAGATGAAAAATGATAGGCAAGGACTTTCTTCTCAGAGCAGTGTGCATTGTAAAAAAATCACATGGCAATTGTCACACAGCTTGGTTAACATTAAAATCATTGGATTATATGATTTAAATGGTCAGATTACATGCTATATGAATTATATCTTAGTAAACATCTAATTTTTTTAAAGGATGGGGCTAGCAAAAATGGCTTGGCAGTTAAGGGCACTTGTTGCTAAAGCTGATGACCTGAGTTTGATCCCTAGGATTCACAGGGTGGGAGGGGACAACTCTTGAAAGTTGTCCTTTGGTCTCCATGCCCTCCCAGGAGCATGAACACACACACACACACAAATGAATTTTCAAAAATTTATAAAGATATGCTTAAAATGCTTAAAATGGTGTCAGGGTAATTGACTCTCCAGGCCTAAGCTGATCTTGAACTCAAGGTTCTTAAGCTTTAGTGGCTCCTGTGCTGGGATTACAGACATACAGCATCATGCTGAACTCTATGGGTCTGGACCTACTCAGTCCTGCCCAGCTCTTTACATGGCTGCAGTCCTAATTCACTGTATCCCAGAAGGGAGCTGTGGGTCATCTCTTACTTAAGGCTTGAATTTGCTTTTAATGAAATTGGCTTTGATTCATGTGCACAAGGAAGGAGAGCGGAGATCATAGCAAAGCTCTCGAGACTGTCCGATGACCAAGCACATTCCAGGGACACAGAACCAGTTGGTTTACCAGTAGTATCGGCTTAGCTGCAGTATTTCCTCTCAGCACTATCCCTCTGTGCCTTCCCCAACCCTCAGGTTTCTTGTTTGTAGCTTCAACCCAACATTGCATCAAAAATATCATTTAATTATATCAGTACAGAACATATATACAGGTTTCCTTAAGTACACTGTAACAACCATGTACATAAGTTGAGACAAGCATAGTCAGATTTTAGTATCTTTGTACACTCATCTGTTAGGAAGCCCAATAGTTTTGCACTGGAAACCAAGACTCCTGCTCTTGCAAACATGGGTAATTTTGTAATCTGAACCCTGGTCTGAAATCTCACCTTCATCAAAGTAGCAAAGTTGTGTGACTTTGGATTTGTTACTTAATCTTATAAGCCACAGTTCTCTCAAAGGATCAGTTAAGGAAGCCTTTAAAGAGGAGGCTGTGAAGTTGCTAGCTAGCCAGTGTAAACTATTTCCATTTCACAGATCTGTAGTAAGTGTTACATCATTTCTCTCTTTCCCTTGCTGGGTTGTCTCCCACTGATAGCAGGAATGAATCATTTGGTCCAGGGCTGGCTACCAGTTCCCCCTTTTCTTTGATAAATATCATTTACCTTTTCCACATGTTCTAGACCTGTCCATTTGGTCTTCAAGTCTAGGCCTTTGTTTTCTGTATAAATCATACCTAAGTATAAAGCTTGTATGTTTATGCTTTACCAATGCTCTCTAGAAAATAGCAGTAGTAATTTTTTTCAACCCTATAATCTCCCAGGTGGATAAGTTGGGATATGCAAACCAATAATTTCCAAAAATATAATTGTACAACTTTTATATTTTAGGTGACTCCTAGAAAACCAGCTAGCCTACTTGCATCTGATGAAATCAGCCAGTCAGCCAGCCAGCCATGTCTTACACTCCTGGGATTGGTGGGGACCCTGCCCAGCTGGCTCAGCGCATCTCCTCTAACATCCAGAAGATCACACAATGCTGTGAGTTCAGCTTCAACTTGACTTCACTGTTGTTTTCAGTTCTTAATTGAACCTGGTGGCAGTTGATAAAACTCTAGCAGTTCAGGAAGGAAGGAGGAACATCCTCTAAGAACACGTGTGAAGCGGCTAGAACTCTTTAGAGTGAGTATGGAGGCGATTCAATAGAGGAGCAGAGTGTCTGTCAGCAAATGCCCGAGGTGCACTGTTCCTTTAGTGAAATAGGCTTTATAGGTTGATGTTTAGATTTGCTCTGAGATCATCTCATTCTTGAAGCTGAGATCTGCTGGCTTAGTTTCATAGGTTAAGATCTGGTGAGTTCTAGCAAGAGTGCAGAAGATTTATATTCATTAAGAATAAGATCTGATAGATAGTACTTAAGTTAATTTTGTACCTGCAAGTAAGTCATATAAAATTAAGAGAGTCAAGAAAGAACTAAGCAGGTATTTTAGTTGTTGTTGTTGCTGTAACAAAATACATGAGGATGAACAGGTTATAAAGGAAAACATGATTTAGTCACAGTTTTGGAGGACAAGAACACAGTACCAGCATCTTCTTGGTTTCTGGTGAGAACCTCTTGACACAAGTTATTACACGGCAGGAAGGGAAGCAGGAGATGAGGAGAGGTAGCCACTCACGGTCATGGCTGTCACCATCACGAAGACCAATCCAGCTCCGAGAGACTGAGAAATAGACTAATCACCTCTTGGTAGCATCTTCCTACATGGCCACTTTGATGGCATTCAGACTGTGGCAGGAGGGGATGTTTTAATCTGTTTAGAGAGATATTATGGAAGGTGGTGTTGATTCCGCACGGACTTCCCATTCGGCAAAGACAGCAAACCAACAGATCCAATGTGACATGTGCCCTTCAGAACGTGTTCATGTATATGCATAATGTAGTCATAGGCATACAGGTTTTGGTTTTTAATTCCTGAATCACAGATAACCACGCAGTCCAGAATATTCTATTCTGGCTATCTTTCTCTTGGTGCTTTGACATTAGGACATTGTCAGAACTCCTTTTGTTCTGTTTTTGTTTTTTGGTTTTTTTGGATTGTTTTTTTTGTTTGTTTGTTTTTTTGTTTTTTTTTTTTGAGAGAGGGTCTCAGTATGCACATCGGGCCCAAACTTGCTCTTGCAGACCAGGCTGGTCTCAAACTCACAGAGATCCACGTGGCTCTGCCTTTGGAGTGCTGGGATTAAACATACCACCGCACATGACACTAGTATATATTACATTCTTGGCTGCTTGTCAATACACTTTATTTGTTAGCCTTACCAACAGCTAATACACTACTGACTTACAGAACATCTCCAAATGATCATACCATTTTTAATCATTAACCTCTCAAAACTGTTCTGCTAAGGTGATTCTGCTAAGGAGATGCCAATGTGCTTTGGAGGCAAAGGGAATAAAGATTCTTCTAGAAGGCACTGATGTCTGCTCTGATTCGAAGTAATCAGTGTTTTCTTTGGCTGCCGTCAGGGGAGCCAGGAAAGAGGAGCACTCAGCACCATGCATTCGTGGCAGGCTGTTGAGATTGCTCCGTCAGGGTGATTGCAGCTTCTTGCTCTTTGGCTTCAGATTGCCCTGATCTCTGTGTGGCTCTCTTGCTGTGTGTCTCCGTGTTACTGATAGGCCTCAGGTGAATGTAATCACCTGTGTGAAATTTAAGGGAGCTTATTGCTCAGTTTACACATAAGGGAATCCCGACCTTTTGCAAGAAGGGATGCCAAAATAGAGTAGGTCTCTTGGCTTGTATCATGAAACGGTGCCAGGAATGCAGGAGGCTGAGCAGTGGCTGTACCACTCTGAGGTTAGAGAAATGGTAAGCGGTAGACAGTTCAAAAGCACCTGAACTGGAGGCTGTGTGCCAATGTAATAATTAAAATGTTTTTTAGTGAAGACTGAAATCATTAAGTCAAGATATATCTTCAGATATGCAAAGTACCGTCTGTCAGTAGTGAAACTGAAGCCTGTTCTGTCCATTGGGGCCACTACACAAGTTCGAAGCTACTGGGAGTTAGGTCTCAAACTAAGAAGGCAGAGGGACTTTTGAATAATCCAAATTGCACAAGGGTGCGCCTCTCAGGAGTGAGTGTTGTTACCAAGTGACTAGAAATAATAGTCAGATAATTCCCAAGTCATTTATTCAGACATTTAAATATTGGAAGGATGGTCCAGATTGAGTGACTTTTAATTGCGTTATTCTGTTTTGGCACATTCAACAGTAGTTCTTTGAGCTCTGTTACATATTAGACGCCGGTCAGCTCAGAGAATGTGACTATAGCCGTAAACAGATCTGTAAGGCCCTGTCTTCATGAAACAACATACAGTATAAAAGTGAATAAACACCACAGCCTCCTGTGTGAAAGTGATGCCGAAGCAGGCATCTGGGGAGCTTTGCTGCTTAGCTGGGCCCTGGCTGGAGGGGGAAGGCCTGTCAGAGAGAGCTACAGGTGCAAGCCACATGAAGGGATCCCTAACCACAAACGCCCCAAAGCAGTCTAGAGCTTGCTGCTCAGAAAATAGAGAGCCTGAGCCAACCTGTCCAAAGCACAGTACTTGAGGCCAGAGTAGCTGGAGGGGAAATCAGAGGAGGCTTGATGCTTGAGTTACCTAGGGCTTTGTCTGCACTGTGGGGGGGTTTAAATTTCCCTGTTGAAGGCAGTGGAGACTGCTGAAGCTTCAGAGACAGAGTCAGATCCATATATTGGTCTTTGCAGTGTCTATTGACAGATAAGGAGGCCCGAGAGTGCATTTTAGAGACAAACCCAGCAGGACTTGCAGGTGCATGTGCGAGGGTCTGGGAGGAGAGGGGAGGAGCCACACTTTCTGCCCTGACCACCGGAATGGGCGGTTGCAAGCGGGACTGCCATCCTGGACTAGCTGGGGGGATTTTGTTTCCTTCTAGTAGATGTTTTTATTTTTACTGCCCTTCTAGGGAAGTACATTACCACTGGATCGCTTCCCCTTGGTTGAGTCCATTTTGTAATGTGTTTTGCACATCTAAGTGGAGATAGCAGACAGTTGAGATGTATGAATTTGGAAATTGGGATCTTGGGATCATAGCACAAATGGTATTTAAGACAGTGGGTCTGAATTAAGCCTGAAAAGGTTTGGAGAAAAGGACCAAGGCGTTAAAAATTCTGGAGGTCATGGAGAAGGTGGCATGAAGCATTTGAGTGATCAGAGAACCAGCAATGAAATCAAGATGAAGTAGCCAGCACCACCTGGGTCTCTGTTTTCACTTTCAGTGGCTTTCTTGCCTCAGGTCTTTTCCTGGATGACCAAAACAAGTCACTCTCCTTGCTTTCATTGGGTTGGTTGCCTGGAATTAAAAGTCATAAGCCACCACTGCCAGTGAAAGATTATGGTCAGAGCAGGGGCTACATTTATTTTTTATTGTTTTTTTTTTTTTTTTTTTTTTTTAACTAGAAAAGGGAAATGCTAAAACTTTAGAATAAAATTGTAAAGGAAAAGTCTTTCAAGGTGAGAAGCCACCGGAAATGTAGCACTTAGAGTAGCAGTTCTCAAACTGTGGGTCATGCGCCTTTTGGTGTCAAATGACCCTCTCACAGGGATCGCTTAAGACGCTCGGCAAACAGAGATATTTGCATTACGGTTTATAACAGTACCGATAGAGTTATGAAGCAGCAATGAAATGATGGTGTGGTTGGGAGTCAGCACGTGAGGGACTGTATGACGGATAGCAGGGATTGAAGGCAATAAGGAAGGTTTGAGAACCACTGCTCTGGAGAGAGCTTTGCCTTTTCATCTGCCCTGCAAGGTGAGTTTCTGAGTATGTTTATCGTTGAGGGAAATACAAAGGGAAAGCATCAGATAAGGAAAGGGAGGATAGAGATAGGTGTGGATGGCTTGAGAAGCTGAGGGAGAGCTTACAGTGCAGGAGGAGCTAGAGCGGGAGGGTTTAGTTGGCTGGTACAAACCTGAGACTGGTCATGGCTTTATGGCCAGCACTGCTGCCTGCACCTTTCTCTAATTTTGAACTTCAGTGACTGAATGAAAGGAGGTTTAGAGTGAAAATAAGTGGCTGGTAGACATTCTGATAAGGGCCGGGTAGACATGTGGAAGTGAAAGGCAGAAGTGTGAAATCTCAGTTCTCCTTCCCCCATTCTGACAATGCTATTAATACACATGGGTGCAATGGAATAGGTTCTCTGCACCGAAGGTAGGTGCTTCTTCTGACACCAGTGTTTGCATCTTTAAAGTCTGTGACCTTCCAGATGGGCGGGTTTTGTAAATGAAAGATATTGTGAGTAAGGTAGCTAGAAGGTGAGGGTCTTACTCAAGCAGAATGCAAGGCTTATGTTCCTGTTGGTCTTGATCAGATAAATAAAGGATTATATGAATATTGAATGTTGTAGCTTATTTGATGCCAAAAAAGGAAACAACATTTTATTATTATTATTATTATTATTATTATTATTATTATTATTAGAGGAAGCAAAGAATAACAGATAGCAAGAATATAATTTTGTCTGCTTTTACCAGTATCCTGGCAGTTGTTTTGCAAAGCACAGGATAGATGAAACTTTGTTTTTCCTGAAGTAGTGGGTATTGAATTGAGGACCTCATACATGTGAGCCAAGCGCCCCACCACTGAGCTGTGTCTCCAGAATCCTTAGCCCTGGAATAGTATTTTGAAGTTAAGTGGTTTTTGCTGTTAGGTAACTTTTTGTTGAAGGGGATCCTATACTCTTATAAACCTGCTTTAAGAGTAAGCATTTATACTATGACTGATATGATTTACAGTAAACAAAATATTTAGATAACTATTTACACATGTATGTAACGGGTATAGGCTCATATTGTAGCTGTCCACTTACACTGAAACAATCTCTCCTTTAAGTTTGTGGATTTCTCTGTGACTCCAGCATGGAGCAGTAAAGCGATGTAGCAGGTATTTTTATCCCTTGATGTAGGCTGTTGATCTTTAGCAGAGCTGCTGAGACATTTGTGCCGCCAGCACTCCCTC